CATACAAGGTTTCTTCCGCTTGTTTCGTTAATTTTCCCCTTCTAACTTGGTTCAGCCTTGGACAAAAGTACAGAAGTTCTGTACAGAAGTTTCTTCAGCATACGGTGTATTCCAACAATAATTTTGTTAAGTGACAAAAATTTAATTAATCATCAAAACACTTGCTTCCTCTGCGGTTTTTTTGAAAGCCTGATACTGTACAATATACAGGTGGTACCTTGTAATTCAACCATAATCCATTGCCAAACTAGGGTCAAATTGCAAAGCAGTCAAATTGTGCGACACTTCATGAAATTTAAAAAAATATGAATACAAAAACACAAAAAAATGAAACAAAAAATAGCCTAATCAGGTCAAATTGTGGGGCGAGGGTGGAATTGCAAGTCAACCTCCCTGCAAATTTGACCGTCGAATTCCGGGATGGTCAAATTGCAGGAGGTCAAATTGCAAAAAATTGCAATTGCAGTACCATCAGTACTGTATTTTAGTCCCCAGAAAAGCAAAAACGAAATTTTGGTTTGGGGAGAGAACTACAGTGAAGACGAGAGAATATTAGAACGATTTTCAGAGGAAAATATTCCAAAATTTAAACACGAAAGAAAAATTCATACAGGTGGACTCTCTGCAACAAATCTTTTTCTGGTCCCTTGAATTTCGTTGTACAGAACCATTATAACAGGAGGAGAGAACCCTATCGGGCCAGACAAAAATGCCATTATACAGTAAATGGAAAATTGTTATATATACGAGATTGTCGTAGGAAGAGAGTCCACCTTAATTTGAGAATTTGAGTTTTTCAAATTACAGTACTCTAGTGGTCAAGTATGATGTGATTCAAGGATGTTTGCTTATTCTTCATTCTGATACGCGTAAACAGTATTTCTCAAAAAAGTCAAGCATGTTCAAATGAAGTACTGTACTCAACTACGAAATCTTGTGGATTTTTCAAAGCCCTGTATTTTCACTGGAAATGTGTCAACGGTGCTGGAATTTTTTATCGTCGGAGTATAAATTTGATTCGACACGAAGTTAAAACCTGCTATATTCGGTATGAAAAACCTATTTTTGTAAAATCCTCAAGCATGAACCCGCAAAGCAAGGTTTTATTAAATGATCTCCGTTTTCGATCGGAAGAAAAAAAAAAAGCAAACAGTCACGCAGCGAATCCGTTCATCGCCGAAAACGGATTCGACAGCAGTTTCCCTGGCTATGAACGGTAAGAATTTTATCAGCAACGAGATTCAACCTTCGCTTTCCCCCAACAAATTCACAGATAAGCCAGTGATTCAGCTCCGCTCTGTTTCATCTGATGAGGAAATCATTAATTGACGCAGAATCCGGAAGGAGACAGAGAGAAGGAGAAAACCAAAATGTGGACTCTATGAGAATCGAGCTGCGAGATCTCGCAACGCAATGGGCNGACTCTATGAGAATCGAGCTGCGAGATCTCGCAACGCAATGGGCATCAAAGCGGAGCGGAGAATCAGCCCAGAGCCGACCACCGTGACGCAATTTGACTAGCGCTCTTTCTTCCCAGGGTAAAGCTTATGGTGCACTCAAGGAGAAATGTTTTTTTATATAGTGAATATTTACTTTTTTTATTTGTGTCACAGCTGCTCAATGTAGGAGGGTTGTCCAAGTTGTACGCGACCTCTGATATTTTGAGTATAGGTGTGATTTGAACAAAACTAATAATGTCCTAGCTCAGGATGTCCTTGGATTTTTTACTTTTTTGAGGCAAACTCAGGATATTTCTGCAAAATGTTGTGCCTATGAGCGCTGTGAATTTTAAAAATTGAATTTTTGTACCAAGACTCAAGTCCAGAAAAGTCTGATTTTTTTTTTCAATCCTGCAGAAAAGGTTGCCAAACAAATCCTAACTGGGTGACATTTTCTCCAGCATTCCTTGCATAGGACTAGTTTCGGAGATTATTGAAAATGAAAGAGTTTCTCATTCCAAGATTTTTCCAAAATTAGGCCCTCTCAAGCCTGGCTGTGTCAAATGTGCCTTTGGACAAAAGAAAATCCAGTTTTGCCAAGGAATGGAAATGAGGCTGCTGACATCCGAGGGTTAAAAGCATTCTTGAATTTACTGAATGATGGTGAGTGAAAACTTTCCATCTACAGCAAGAGTTCTTCACTCATATTACAGGACATTTTAGACATTTTTAGGTTTGCTTAATCCTTGAATGGCAGTAGCCTCCTTTCCATCCCAGGGCAAATTCAGACTTTTTTGTGTTGAAGCTGCATTTCATTTTCACCCAAGGTTTAGCAACCCCTGACAGGTGGGGAAGAGAAAAGTCAGATTTTATACTGGGATAAAGAAATGCTGGGAAAGTCGTAAGTTGGACTTTTTCCTTAATAACCTCTAACCTGAGCTCCTGGCTTTAAAGCTTAAATTTAATCTTTGTATGGGGGAACAACACAAGGCCATGGGGAAAAATGAGCTTAAAGATTTAATTTTTTCATTTCTCAGTAAAAATTTTCTGTGTTTTTTGGTCCTAAAAAAGGCTGAAACTTGACACGTGTGACAGTACCAAGAAACTAACAGTAAAAACTAACGTAGGTTTTAGACGCTTTTTTCAGTTTTTTCAAACGCCGTCTTCCCAATTGAACTTTTTTTGCTGTTTTAGGTAACACGTAAAATCTAGAAAAATAATTGGCAAACAAATTCAATTTTTTAACTAGCCCCAACAGTTTTAGCCCCCTGCGTTGAGCAAGAAACTTAGAAAACGGATATGCAGAGTAAAGTAACTGGAATTTGTTCCCTTACCATCATGCAGTAAATTCAAAAATGTTTAAAATGTATCCCAAAGCAATCCAA